CCCTCTGCACACTCATGCACACTGCAGCTTGCTCTGAAGATGCACACACATGTACATGCTGTTCTTGTGCACCCTCACCCTGGACAAACAGCCCCACCAAGCACACTCACACAAGTCTAGTATGTGCCCTCCCTCTGCACAGACCCTGTCCACACTTACACATCCCTACACACTCTTCAAATACACACAATCCTTCTGCACACCCATCCATCCATCCATCCATCCATCCATCCATCCATCCATCCATCCATCCCCTTGAGACCAGAGTCCACCACTCCAGATCTGACCGCCCCACTGCAGTGCTGCCCAGCCAGTTGGCAGCACAGGAGATTTACCTCCATTATTAACCCAGTTAGTGGATTATCGGAGGCCCAAATTGATGAGGGAGTGCATCCTCCCCAAAGACTCAACTGGCATCTGATTTCAGGGAGGTAGCTGGGGAGGGAGCTGGAAGCAGCCTTAGTGCGAGCTCCTGACCCTCCACAGTGAGGGTATTCTCACACCCTCAACTAGTTTTTACACCTCCTCTTTGGAGCCCCAATCCCAAACCCTTTGGACCCCTGGCTGGAAGATAATGTTGTGGCAGCTTTTGAGGGCTCTTGAGCCCTCAAGCCATGCCTCAAGCACCCATGGGTCCATGCAATTCCAACCCAGTGACACTGGTATGGGCATGCACATGCCCAAACACGCTGGGACACCACACGTGTGTCTATACATGCACACAGGTGTGTTCAGACTCGTGTGCGCGCACACACACCCCCCTACAGCCATATGGATCCACACGTGCTCATATGGATCCATGAACACTTTCTAGCACTTCCATGGGTTCACACACACTCTGCACGCTCCTGTGCATCCATACAGACACACAGGATCTCCCAGGGATTGCTACACACAGGGACTCTCACATGGGCCCACATATGCCCACGTACCCCCACACTTACGTGTGCATTTATACAGATGCACACACGGGTTGGTCTGTGGGCACACACACACCCCAAACACCTGTTTGCCCTTCCAGACACACCCCAGCAGCCCCCCAGTCCTGTCCCGTGCCCTCCACTGCAGCTGGGTTGCCAGAGCTGTTGGAGCTCCAGGGGTTAGCACACTGACCCTGTGGTCCCAGATTAGGGGCACAGCTCTGCTCACAGGTTCACTGGAGAAAAGCCCCCAGACAGACATGGACAGGGGCAAACACAGTGTGTCCATTCCCCCTCTCCCTGTCTCTACAGTGTAGCCAGAGACCCTCTAATTTAGCCTTGGGAGCCCTTGGTCCTGCAGCTAGGTGGAAGATGCACTGGCAGTGAGGAGTGGGCTGTGGCATGGAGACCACTACCCTCTTCTCAGAGTCCCCCTCTTCAGCTGCCTCCATTCTCTGAACATTCCTGCCTCTATTTCCTCTATCCCTAGGGACAACACCACAAGAGAAAGCAATAGGGACAGAGGTAGGAGGGTGCAAACCACAGACCCTTCCACCCCATTTTGGGACAATCTTAGGTGGCACAAGGAGGTCTTTGTCTACAGGTGTACAGACCTCCAGGCTCTGAGATGTGAGTGCACACATTCACAGCTGGCAAGCCCTCCCTAAATGCATGTTAAGGACAAATGGGTGGGTGCAAAAGGCAACTGCAGGCATCAGGGACAGGCAGGGCAGGAGGAACAGAGTTAGGCTGAGGATAATGGCAAACGGCTTCTGGCAAAACCAGCCACCCCCAAATTAACCACTGAGGCTACCAGACAGCCGAGAGTTCCTAAAGGGCTGGTTGGGGCTCACCCCCTGCAGCTGCTCCTGGGCAGGGAGGAAGGAGCTTCAGAGGTTCCTGATCCCCCCAGTCACAGATGGGTGTGAACATGTTGGAGGCGCCCTGGCAGGCAGGGCACCCCCCTGCCAGCACACATGCCACTAACAGAGAGCTGAATGCAGAGCCCAGATGTTTGAGTCCCTCTCAGCACAGGGGATGGAGAAGAAAGCCCCGGGTTCTGGTGCTGTTCTTCTATCACTTGGAGGAAACCAGTGCACCCATCCCTGTCTATATGTATGGTTTCCCTAGGGGGAAAGCTGAATTCAGCTCAGGAGGAGCTGAGCTTGGCACCAGAAGTGCCAGGTTAGCATGCTCTTACACATCCCCTCCAAGTCAAACATAAAGCAGAACCACAGAATTAAAACCTGGCTGCATCCCAGCCCTTAGGGAAGCTGGGGTTCATGGCTTGTTTCAATGCACCACCAGACCCCACCTGGTGGCCCTCACCTCAGGGCTGGGTCTGTCTGACAGCCCTGGGTGTGGAGACCTCCCAGACCTTTGCCCAGTTCTCTACCCATGTGTCCTTATCAATGTACATAAACCGGCGCCAGGGCTGATGCAAGAGGCAGGGGTGAGGGGGTCTCTCAGCCTTGTAACATTACAACAACCCCCCCTAGTCAGAGCAAAGGTCTCACCAGCCCCCCCCCTCCCCAAACCAGCGCCTTAGGAAACATAAAACTACAGCATACATGTGGGGTATTTCCCCAGAAAGCCTCTCCATGCAAAGCAGCATTTGCCCATTAACCCTGTGGGTTTCACCACAACCACCTTGTCCTCTGCTCCCATTTTTAGCACCACTGTGCTCTGTGGAAACCCTTCCCCGGTTGCTCCTGCAACAACTTCCCACCCCATCCCCATCAAGGCATCCTCCCCACTGCAGAGAGATGGGGAAGTCTCTCTCTGCCCACTTTCTGCCAAGCAGCCTGGATTTGACGGTCTCTGTTCACTCAGGTGTGCCCCAGTCCAGGACGATGAGAGCAGAGACAAGCCCTGAACCCCACCCCAGGTGACGGCATCATGGATTGGGCAGTTTCAAGCAGAAAGTCCGGGTGGGAAATACAGCTCTGGCCACTACCATGTCTCACTCCAGCTCCAGGACCACATAACCACACTCCCATTGCCCCAGCAGCTTTCCAACAGACAGACACTGACCCCCCACCTCCCCCACAGCATCACAGCCCAGACCCTGGGGAGCCTCCAAAAGCTGAAGCACAGCCACCCTCCCAACTTAGTCCCTGCAGAGAGCAGAGAACCTGTTCCCCAGGCTGGGTGAGCCACAGCCCTGCAGCCTGGGGAGGACCCAGCAGGGACACATCCCGCCCAGGCAGGGCTGTGTCCCCTCCTGCATGATCTCAGGGGAGGGACAGGAATGACAGCCACCCTGCAGACCCCAAAGCAAGCTGGCACCGCAGCCTGTTCCAAACTGCAGAAGGATATCCAGTTGTTCCCTGGGCTGGCTGGGACATGCCACAAGGTGTGGGTCTCTGGATGAGGGGTACATCACTTTTCCAATCAGGGTTGGAAAAACAAAAAGAGAGCAAACAAGGAAGGAGCCAGCTCTCACCCTGGGAAGCGGTGGCAGGATTTATCCTGCACCCCAACCTCTCCTGTCATTCCTCTCCCACTATTCACAACATTCCTGCCCTCCACAAGGAGCGCGGGCAGCCCCAGACAGGGGCAGGGCGGGAGGCTGAAGGACGAGAAATGCCGGGGATGCTTTCCTAGCCTCCCCGGGAGGGAGGAGCTGCTTCCCACCTCCCGGCTGACCCCGGGAACCGGACAGTCAGCCTTTTTCTGTGCAGCGGGGTGTAATGTAACACTTCCCGGACGAGCTGTTTGGCCTCTAGAGCTCACCCACTCCGGCCCTCCTCAGGCTGCTTCAAGGCAGCGTTAGGCGCTGGCAGCTTCCCTGGGCACGGCCGGGAGGCATGTGCTGCCTGTGCCCTGTTTGTACCTGTACCTGCCGCCCTGTAGGCAGGGGATGAGCCCCGGCCCCCCCCCAAATAATAACTTTTGAACAATTTGAAACAGAAAAGGAAGAAGCCGACACAGCAGCCAAAAGTTGCTGCTCCTCTCCTGCCAGACCTGGGTGAGACTGAAGTGCCCTCGTCCTCCTGTCCCTAAGCAGTGCTGTCCTAAAAAGCCACACAACAGCTGTGTGGGGACATCCTTGTCTGTTCTATCCCCTCACCACATCTTCCCTATCACCCACTGTGCCTCTCTGTCTACCCCAGCCGAGATGAGTGCATGTGGAGCACAAACCTGCCTGGCGCTGTGCACTCCATGCCCACACCCTTGCATGGAGAGGCACCTGCTCTGTGCAGACCAGAGCTTGCACAACACAGCTCAGATGAGATCCACATGCATTTAATAGAGGAAGACTTTTCTTCCATCCTTGATATGAACTTCTGAAACCTTTTCCCCGTGCCAGATGTCAGTTGCAAAAGTGTCTTCCTACACCCACCAGGAATGAGGGCACAGGGTGTATGTGCTACTCCCTCCAGTACAAAGAAATCAGTGACCTGTGTTGACCAGCTAAAATATGCCCTGGCCCTTGCAGAGACACAAGCTCCGTGGCTCGCCAGCTCCTTGGGGTGACCACACACCAGAGCCCTTGCCCTTTTCCACCTCTGCAAAACCTCCGTGGACAGAGGTCAGTCAGCCTGTTATACCCACTATGGAAAGCACCAGAGATGGAACTGGCACAGATCAGGGTGGACACAGGGATATGCCTGGACACTGGACACCCTACCATGATTCAGGGTCTGTGGACAGGCACAGGGGACACTGAGGAGGTAGGGTCGTGAAGCAGGGTTGAAATGGGGTTTGGCAGCAGGGAGATGGGGAGTACACAGGATGATGACGATGCCTATAGGGTGGGACAGGGCTTAGGAACAGGGGCAGTGAGAAGCATTCAGGGGGTACCCATTTAGGGGAGGATGAGGTGGCTTCATTTATAGGGTGCCATCACAATAATGTCTAGGGTTAATGGGGGTATGGAGGATGTCTGCTTGGGGTGGGTTGGAGCTTGGGCATGGTGTTGCCCATTTAGGGTAGGACGCAGACAGGGTTTGAGAGCAATGAGGGGCATTAGAGGTCTTCATTCAGGGAAAGTTGAACCCGAGTTTCAGTACCACGGTGGGGCACCGGGGATGCCTGCCCGGAGCAGCCGGTGCTGGGGCAGCGATGCCTCCTTACCTGTTTGAACTGCTCCTCGTAGGTCCATTCGTGGTGCGGGGGCGGCGCTGGGTCGCGGGGATCCCCTTCTTCCTCCTCTTCCTCTTCCTCCTCCTCGTCCTCCTCCTCCTCCCCCG